TCTAAAATATTCTCAAAGACCTACAAAGTAGGTTTTGGTAAGGGCCTGCCGGAAAACAACTACTTCAATGGATTATACCACGCGGGATATTGAATTATATCCGATAAACATTAATGCAAGGTACCTCACAGAGATTAGTCTCACAGATGTTTCTCATTTATTCAGCAAGTACATGCTGAAATTATTCGAGTAAATCACCTACAGATCGGTTTCCAGGTATTATCTCTTAATAGTGCAGAAAAGATCCGATCCAAACAGCAATGTTCTTGGGACTGGATTAATTACAACGCGTCTCGACTGCATGTATGAAACCTTCGTCTAAGAGAAAGATTGTTAACTAGTAATAGCTCCATCTCGTGAACAAAGCCCCAAGCTGGAAAGAATGTATATAGTTTACTAGAGAATCACAAAGATCCTTCGTGATTCTTTAACGTAAATTGGGAAGTATTTGAATGATAATTCAGCAAATAGTTCACTTTGAATGTATGATTGACGGAAATCAGCGTAAAATAGGATGCGTAGTGAACAGTGGGATGAAAAAAAAATGGAACTTCATATAAAAATATCAGTGTAATGTAAATTCCACAATAATTTCCTAAAAGTAATTCAACTCTCATTCAATCATGTCAGGAGCACTTGAAGATTGAGTTTGTACACCAGACTAGACTAGTCTAGTTGAAAAAACCAGACAACACCAGAAGATGGCAAATCAGACTTTGCCGAAACGTTGTGAAAATAATCCTTATGGGGACAAAATACAGAGAACACGGAGCGAAAATATATTCTTAATCAAACTGGGTTATCCACAACATGCACTTTTTCCGATCACCAAAAATGCAAAACTTTTCTCTAGGCGCGTTCCAAAAACCAAGTTGGCGTCTTCAGTTTTCTTCATCTCCTGAAAATGCCAACTTGGTTGGTGGAACGAACGCGCATCGAAAAGAGTCATGCATTTCTGGTGATTGGGAAAAGTACTTGTCTTGAATTTATTCGACGACAGAGGTTCCAGTTTTATTATCCATTTAAACTGGGTTATGTTGAAAAAGGGTGGAGACAGATTTCGTATTGATAGCAGATTTTGGATTTTAAAAATTGAAAATGTTGAAATTCTAAAAGAAACAATTTATATAAAAATATTCACAATTATTGAATTGATGGATGTAGCCGTTACTACGTGATAGGAAATCATAATGAAGAAAAGAGAATTGAAACTTTCAATGTCATTTCTTTTCGAGTTTGAAAGCCTTGGATTTTTGGAATTTCTTCTTGATGTTTCGCTGGTGCGAGTGGCTAGCTTCTTCAGAGGTTCAACTGTCATAGCTTGCTGTCCGATGACTACCTTTTCGGCTTCGTAAAGCGTATTTATGCCTTGTCAGGTAATCAGTTGTATTTGTACCTGTATTTGTACCTGCATTTGTACCTGTACTCGTTCCTGCACTTGAACTTGGAACATTAACAATCTTGCTGCCTGTTGTCCTGTTCGTTATTCTCGAATTCCTCAAAATGGGGTTCCATATTTGATTGAGGTGCACCGCTTCTTCTTTTCGGTTGAAATTCTCCGTGTGTTTGTGGATCTCTATTGCCTCCCTTACCAGTCGGTTATGGTATCCCTGGTTGGGGGCAATTAGTTATGTGTTTTCAAACAAAATTCTGTGGTCTCCTTCACTAAGTGCGTGTTCTGCCACAGCTGACTTGTCCGTTTGGCCTAGTCTGCAGTTCCTTGTATGCTCTTTTAGTCTTGTTCCCATGGATCGTTTGGTGGTTACGATATAAACCTTTCCACAAGTGCACGGTATGCGATAGACCCCTGCTGCTGATAATGGGTCTCTTTTCTCTTTAGCCGACCTGATGCTTTGTTGTATCTTCCTCGTGGGCTTGAAGACTGTTTCGATGTTGTGTTTATTCAATAGTTTTCCAATTCTGTCCGTGACCCTAGGGATAAACGGTAGATATGCGCGTGTAACCATCTGATCCTTTTGGTGCCCTTTGGTTTCATGGCTTTTCTGGTCTCGGAGGCACTGTATCCATTCGATCTCAAGGTCACTTCAAGGTATTTCAGTTCCCTCTCCAGATGTTCTGGTTCACATATTCTCCGAGCCCGATCCATTAGAGTGGAGAGATGACTCCTTTCTTTTGGCTAGGATGATGGTTCGATAGTGCGTGCAAGTATCTATCTGTGTGTGTGGGTTTTCGATACACTTTGTGGGTTAATCTGGTACCATATCGTTCTATTAGTACATCTAGGAAAGTAATCCGTTGGTCTTGATCAATCTCCATGGTGAATTCTATGCTCCGAAATTGTGGCAACGTTACGTGGATGACACCTTCTTTATCTGGAAACATGTAAGAGACGCCCTGAACCGTTTCCTAAACCACTTGAACGCTCAACACCCGAGCATCCAACACCGATTACCTGACAAGGCATAAATACGCTTTACGAAGACGAAAAGGTAGTCATCGGACAGCAAGCCATGATGGTTGAACCTCTGAAGAAGCTAGCCACTAGCGCTAGCGAAACGTCAGGAAGAAATTTCAAAAATCCACGGCTTTCAAACTCGAAAAGAAATGACACTGAAAATCTCAGCCGTGGAAGTCTAAACCATTTTGTGAAACTGTTTCCCACTTTTATTCGTAACTAACGTTACTGCAGTTTGAAAATGTCCATACAGGACGAAACTACAGTAACGTTATTTACAAATAAAAGTGGTAAAAAACTTAGAAAGTTTCAATTAAATCAGCGGTTCATATAGTAGTTAAACTTGTAGCTTAACTAGTAGGTTAACTAGTAGTTTAGTGTATAAGTTTGAAAATGTCCTTATTGGACGAAACTGCAGTAACGTTTGTTACAAATAAAAGTGGTAATGAACATAGAAAGTTTCAATTAAATTAGTAGTTGAACTAGTAGTTAAACTAGAAGTTTAACTAGTAGTTTAATATATAAGTTTGAAAATGTCATTATTGAACGAAAGTGCAGTAACGTTAGTTACAAATAAAAGTGGTAAAAATATAGAATGTTCCAATTAAATTAGCAGTTTATCTAGTAGGTAAACTAGTAGTTAAACTGGTAGTTCAACTAGTAGTTTAATGTATAAGTTTGAAAATGTCCTTATTGGACGAAAGTGCAGTAACGTTAGTTACAAATGAAAGTGGTAAAAACATAAAAAGTTTCAATTAAATTAGCAGTTTATCTAGTAATTAAACTAGTAGTGTAATGTATAAGTTTATTGTTCTCTCTTCCGCCAGCAGATCTATTGGGGGGGGGGGTTCTTGCAATCATCAGCAGAGCTTTAGTTGATGTTGTTTTATATGCACACGCTATTTTTATGGCTGCTCTCCGTTGAACACTCAGTAATATATTCCTGTATACCTTTTTTTCCCATGGATCTTTTCCAAATCGTTGCGCCATATAGCATGATCGACTGGGCGACTAAGCATAGAATTCTTCTGCTACCTTCTCGAGGACCCCCAACGTTGGGCATTATTCTGCTTATGTTGCTTATGACTTTTCCCACTTTTTCTGTTATTTTTCTAACATGAGCTCCCATTTTCATATTTCGATCCACGTGTATTCCCAGGTTTTTAATAGATTCTTGGCTACGGATGTTCGTTTCCTCCAATTTAATTGTACTACTTTTAAGTTTTCTGCCTGATGCCAGCAGTACTACATCTGAGTAGTAGTTCAACAAGTGGTTTAATGTATGCGTTTGTATAATGTATAAGTTTGGCAAGAATTACCGAATCGAGAGATCTATACATCACTTAAAAAACGCCGCCAAATTAACGACTTGATTTTTATGTACAAAATCATACATAATCAAATCGACTCGTCTACTTCACTTTCATCATTGAATTTCAACGTTCCTCGATATAACTTCCAGGTCACATATAACTTTTTACATCGACGTACCTAACTCACAACACCACCTTCACTGTCCTTTGACATCTATGTGTAGAAGCTACAATAGTCTACAAAACATCGATATATTCTTACCGTTATCTCAGTTTAGGAAAGCAATATATAATGTACTACAGAACTGATATGTTACATGGTATGTAATGCTGATATAGATTACGTTTTATGTTTAATTTTTGTTTCTCAGGACTAATATAAGCTTTTTATTTTGTATTATGTACTCCTGTAATTGGGTCTCATGACCTGTTGGATGTATTTTCTCAATAAATAAATGAATAGATGAGTAAATAAAATGTCTTTATTGGACGAAAGTGCAGTAACGTTAGTTACATATAAAACATAGAAATTTTCAATTATCTTTTCTTCATTCACAATTATGTTTGATAGTCATTTAAAATGAAACAAAAACATTGTATTTGTCAATAAAAATCTCAGAAGAGTCTTATTCCAAAATGTAATTTATTGAAGGACTTTCTTCCTTGGTATAATCTCAACAGAGTTATTGTATAGAAAAATTGACTTGAATGATTTCTATAAAAAAAACAAGCAAAGAGCAAAATTTTAATCTACTCATGACTTGCTAGTGACTAGCTGGTTATTGAAGTACTCTATTACCGATATCCTGCTTTCATTTGTTCTTACTCGTTCCGATATTGAAATAGATTGCAGATGTCAAGAGATACTTTGAAGGTATCGATGATGATATAAAAACCAAGACAGTGAACTATTATCGAACAATGTATAAACACTATGAAAAAACAAACCATCCTTCAATTTTGGCCGCTCTGCCTCCATCTCTGAAAACAGATTTAATACATGACATCAACTGTGGACTTTTGTATCGATCTATGCTGTTGAAGGATTTGCCGGAATTTGTTTTGAGGAAAATTTCCCTAGCCATGAAGAGCGTTTACCTTCTTCCCGATGAGATGATATATTCCCAGTGCGTTGTGAAAACTTGCATGATTTGTGTTGAAAGCGGTATTTTGGAAGTTCTGAACGACGAAGATGAAGAAAGTAGAGTGATTGCGTTCACTCCTGGGACAATAATAGGTGAGTGCTAAAATATTGTATTTTACATGAAAATTTATGAAAAATCAAATTTGACTTAGAAATAGTAAATAAATCAAATGAAGTTCAACATTTTCACTCAATTTATTTCTGTTCTGAAACACGAAAATATCAATTGATCTCTTTGTCTATGTAGTTTTAAACTAATTCATATAAGCGACTAGCGGCCGACCCAGCTTCGCGCGGTTGCAATGCTGATACTAAATATAAATTCACCCATCGGAAATTCAGAATCATGAAGAAACAGTGATGAAAAGGTAACTTTATTTTATGAACGCTCCTGTATACCTTGCGGCTGGGCTGGCGCCCCAGTAGGAATATTCAAATAGCCTTTCTTATTGCACATCTACAATATCAAAAGAAACTTCATACAAACTTCCAGCCACCGAAAATATACCGATACGGAGAAACAGTGATAAAAATGTAACATTATTTTATGAACTCGTCTTTTTGCTCCGCGTCTGGCACCCCGGTTGGAATATTAAAAAATCCTCTCTTACAACATCTACATCTACATAAAGTGAACCTACATACAAAATTTCAGCCTCCGAAAATACAGCAGCATCAGTATTTAGCAGACTTTTCAACCTGTCTTACAAGAAAGGCAAAGATAAATCTTCCAAATAACTATAGACCAGTCGCTTTAATAATGATAATAATATCCTCAAATATTTGGAAGGCTTCAACACCTTGAGCGATCATCAATATGGCTTTCGGAACAAAATTCAACAGGCGACCTTCTGTCATATCTCACTCATATTTGGAATAACGCAATCGAGAAACATGGAGAGTTAAGAGCTCTAGCGTTTGATATTTCTAAGGCCTTCGACCGTTTGTGGCATGAGAGTTTGCTGGCCAAACTTCGAAGCTATGGCTTATAGGATCATTTTTGTGTATGGCTCTTTAACTTCCTCAAAGAACGTTCCCTGCAAGTGGCCGAATACTTTTACCATCAACGCTGGTGTTCCCCAGGGATCTACATTGTCTCCAACCCTCTTTCTTTTGTATATCAACGACTTATTGGAAAAAAACAAGAATTCAATATATTGATTTGCTGATGACAGCACACTTGTTTCGTCATTCCATTTGGATTCCAGGACATCTGCGATGGATACACATCTTCACCGATAGCAAGACGTTGCATATCTTAATGAGGATCTAGAAGTAATTACGAATTGGGGCGAAAGCGAAAATAACCAAGGTTCAATTCAATGCCACAAAAGCCCAGGCATCGGTTTTCACCAAAAAAAATTAATGTCTCCGAACCGGATATAATAATGCCAGAACAGACAATTCCACTTTCAGCTTCGATAAGTTTCTTGGGGGTTTAAATGGACACCAATAATATCTTAGCACAATCATGTCGCTGGAATTGCAATAGCCGCTTCTCAAAAGCTTGGAACACTGTTCCGAACCAGAAAACTGTATACACCTCAGCAACTTTTGATGCTTTATAAAACTCAGATCAGACCTTCTTTGGAGTATCATTTTCATGTATGGAGATCCGCCCCTAATCATACCCTGAAGCTGCTGGATTCCATCCAGACAAGAGCCATCCGTCTGATTGGAGCCGCGAACATCACTTGCAACTTTGATAGTCTGGAATATCGAAGAAAGGTTGGAGATTTGTCTCTCTTCTACAGATACTTTCACGGGAATTGTTCAAGTGACTTGGCACATTTGATTCCACCAAGATCGGTACATATCAGAAATAAGCGAAGAACTGTGGCTGCTCATCGTTTTGAGATTCAACTCAGTACATCTCGAACTTCACTGTTCAAGAACTCTTCCATTTGGAGAACTGCGTTCATGTGGAATAAACTTCCCGAAAACGTTTTTCCAAATGGATTTAATCTCCAGCGATTCAGATCCAATGTGAATCACTACTTACTTAAGGATTTTCCTGTAGTGTTTGTATGTTGTACTTAAAAAACAGTGATTTAAGGATCATTTTCATATGTAATTGCGCTTCCTTTATCCCCAGGGGGCGTCTTAGTTAGAATATTTAAAAATCCTTTCTTATTGCACATCTACAACATAAAACGAACCTACATACAAAATTTCAGTCTCCGAAAATATATGTAAACGCGCTCCTTTTACCCCCACGGGATTCATCGTACCGCTGCCAAATGCATGAATTATGTATTTGTTACCAACTTCGTTAGATTTTGGCTGATATCCGTCGGAATTTACTTGACTGTTCATCATAAGAGGTGATGCACCAGAATCTGCACTTCAAAAGTACATATTAAAGCATCTCCGGGTAGAGGCGGATTTGTAGATTCAAGACATCATCTCGTTTCGTTGAAAACAATTTTGCAAAATGTAAAAGAAAATAACTTTTGTCTGATTTCTACTCACTTTTTTATTTGTTACGACCGGTTTCGGTTTGTTAAACCATTAACCATTATCAAAAGGGAAAATTTGTGAACACAGATCACTCAAAAAATGAAGGCAAACCGCGGAAACATGTTTCTGGCTACTAGCCTCATCAGCGCGGCGCAGCCAATTGCAAAGATGGACAACAACTGTTTACCAAAAATGAAAAACTTCACATATGCACGGTGTCACCAACAGGAGCTAACCGCACATTTGTAGGTAGGCAGCTATAACTACCTGTGTGACTTCCGGGTCCAGGATATAAATACAGAGATAAACTCACACTCAATAACATCTTTATCTCTGTATTCATATCCTTGACCCGGAAGTCACGCAGGTAGCTATAGCTGCCTACGTGGTGATGTTAGATGATGCCTGGGAATGCTAGGTCTTCTAATTGAAATCACATATGTGCGGTTAGGTCCTGTTGGTGACACCGTGCATATGTGAAGTTTTTCATTTTTGGTAACCAATTGTTGTCCATCTTTGCAATTGGCTGCACCGCGCTGATGAGGCCAATAGCCAGAAACACGTGTCCGCAGTTTGCCTTCATTTTTTGACTGTTCTGTCCACAAATTTTCCCTTTTGATTCATATCATACACACTCAATAACATCTGTATGCAGAAAAGCTGCTGGAAAATAATTCCATGAAAATCAAAAGATAAATAAATAAGTATCATTCTGATCATTCGCATATTGATATCAATTTAAGAGCCACCGGTAAACAGCTGTTTCAGCCTATTGGGCATCATCAGTACCGAGCAGGTGGTCCTCGATGAAGACAAAATGTGAAAAACCAAGAAAAGTACTCAATAAAAATAAATGCGTAAACGCAAGCGAGACATAAGTGGAACCACCTATTGGTGTGACACCCAAGTTGACTTGGTCGACGGTGTCGGTATCCACAACACGTGAAGGCTCTTGGAATAAGCGAAAACGAGAAGGTTTCTCGAGGAACCTAAGGTTTTCCTTCTTTCTTTCTTTCTTCTTAGCAGCCACTAGCATTCGTATCATATCAAGGCAGTGCTGTTTGGTGGTCAGCAGCACGCCTTGGCTTAAAGTGTGATGGATACGTCGTAGATTGGCAGCTATTCGCCGCACTGAGGGCGGGAAAGGCCTATTGGCAGCCCTGTAATCCATCACACATTGGTTGGATACGAGACGCGTGTTGTCTCACCGACGTGATCTTAGCCTCCATCTTGTGTACACGCCGTTCAATCTTCCGAAACGCAAGGCCGGGATTTCGTCCTTCCGATTTGGAAAGCGGATTATTATTATTATTATTATATTATTCAATGCTAGTAGCGCCATCTGTGTGTTAATCTACGAACTTTTCAGCTCATCTCTGGTACTCAACTCTGGAAACTGATGCCTATTGCTCACTTACGTGGTATTTGAGTCCTAGAAAATTGTATTCATATTTGATGTATACTCATGTTACTATAGGCGTTATCGTTTAGCGTTTAACATCAGCAACGATTGATGTAATACTGACGGCAAGTAAACCGTTTGTCTTTCTGGAATGTCCAACAGTGTGTTCCGTCTGATAATCACTTTTAAGCCATCAGCTGTACTCAGAAAAACAACTATTCTAGAATTTTCAGTCAGTTTGAAATCAACCACTGATGATACCAAACGCCTATGAAAAACGATTGTAACTTGAGTTTGAATATTTGTATATAATACAGTTGAACTATTCCACTTTAATCAGTAGTAATATGACCTAATTCTTTTTGGTGGTAATTAAAATTAGAGAGATATATAAAAATAGTTGTATTAAAATGATTGCGTTCATGTAGACGATTCCTTGAATAAAATACATTCGGTTCAAACACCCTGTATACAAACGACTTCTCTATTGAAAACCGTAAAATGCCTCTTGACTTATGATCTGAATATTATAGGAGAATCGGCATTATTTCTCAATACACCTTCGAAAGCAACTGTGAGAGCTGTCTCATACACTGAATTGAAGATTTTAGAAAAGAAAGATTTTCTGAATATTATGATGTATTTTCCCGAAATACTGAAGAATTTGAAGCTTGAAATAGAAAAACGCATGGCAGATGCTTTCAAAAATAAAACGGCAGTTAAGATATTTTCTCCGCCGAATTTGAAAAGATTGAAAGTGAAATTGCAAAAAAGTGTAGAGAAAGAAGTTGGAACTTCAGGAGTAGCTGAATATCCTAGTCTTTACAAGATCGATAAGACGACCTCTTTTGGAATAATCCCAAACAGATTGCCATTGGTGAGAAAAACTGGCTCACTGAATGCAGCTCACATTTTTATTTTTAGTTGAAATCTTGGAGCTTGATATACGCTATATCCCAAGCTATCTTTTGCCTTTTATATTCATTCAGCGTAGTTTTCAAGCGAACCGATATTTATCACTTCCAAGTTTATGGAATACTTATGGATGTATTGTGTATCATAGATATTGTTATCCAAACTACAACTTGCAGAGTTTTTCATGTAGGGTAATTATCAAAATGTTCAATATTGCTATTATAATAACCTATTTTTTAGGAAAACATCATCATCAGTTTGAAAAAAACAATCGACCAACGGCTCGATAACTGGCGATACAATTTGGATATTTTCTCTGTATTTCCCATGGGTATGATACACTGTTAACAAATTATTAACAATCAATTTCCACTCCAAAAATTACAGAGCTCTGGAGCAATTTTTTTGAACATCCTGTAGTGAGAAGTAGAATGTACTACATATTTAAATTGAATCGTGTTTTGAGATTGCATAGAATCAACGAAATAATCCAGGATTTAGAATGTGAAATTCGAGGTAGATATTGCGTGAGTATTAGTAACTGTATAGGAAGAAAGTTCCTTTATACTAGTTTTTGGATGACTCTTGATTAAATTATTCTGTTTCCCATCCTTTGCTCTCACCTGTGTCGAATTAAATCGATTACTAGCTAGAGAACGCGGCTTCGCTAAGGGAGTTGGAATGAGATTGTGTGAAAGTTGGACCAAAATATTTTAAATTATGAGAGTTCGGCAAATCGATGGATCTTGCTATACAGTGTGTAAAAGCCAAATGGGATAAATTCATTATTTCGGTTATGATACATATTTTAACAAAATCCCGAAACAATTTAAATTATAATTTGACATACTTCAACGGAAAAATGCTACCCCTACCTTCAACCCCCGTCGAATGACAGGTACAAACCCCAATTTTTCAAATGGGAAGTATAGGCTTGTGATATATCGTTTGAAAGCTCTCTTCATTCTATTAGTTTAAAACACCTTGTCAACTTGTTTTGTATGTTAAAACATTAATTGTCAGTATTTTAATTTAAGTTTAAAGTTCGTTAACTTCAAGTCTGACAAATGGTTAGAGTAACGGAACACAACAGAAAGTAGCTCGCCTATTCCATGAGAAATTTCCTAATTTACCGCCCATATCTCAAGGAACAATAAGAAAAATGAATAAGATTCGGATGAATTTGAATATCGAAACACAGATAGTATGTTTCAATGTATATAAGAATTTACATCTCAAGTTTGGTTCAGAGGGAAAAAAACTATTACAAGCAACATCAAATTTGACCAATTTCCTTTCTCAACCGTACGTAAATTAAGACCAATAGGTCTTTCAAAAGATCAAAAAAATTCGATGATATGTCTCGCACACTTTGTTTCATTTAAATTTAAATATAGGAAGCGCTTAATGAAATAACCTTTTATAATATCTGCGCCGAGTATATATTTTTATTTTCCAGATTGGATGGATTTTAAAAATTCTCGTGTATGGTCTCTTATTTTGTTACCTTGTCGCTTGCATTATCCATTTGTATTCCTGTCCTTATGAAATATGTGAAGATGACAGTTGGTACCAGGTAAGTTAAAATTAATTGCCTAAATAGTAAATGAAAGGAGAGTTGGGTAAACAATTTACGATATGGAATTTTTGAAAAATGCATTCATACTCAAGTGCATGAAATCGTTTGATAAAGCCATTCTATAGCGAAACACGTGTTGCCTTTTTGTAAACTGTCTAGTGAAGAGTCAGTTTTTATGTAAAAAAAAAGTTCATTTAAATTGATCAATTTTCACTTAATACATAAAATCAGTTTGTATTTATAAAAACATATAAGTCATACAGGATACTGGGAAATAAATGTGTATTTTTTTTGTTTGTATATATAAAAACCTATAAGTCGTTCAGGATGCTGGTAAATAATAAACAAATAAGATACTTTTTTTAAATTATTATTAAAAAATTCTTGTATATTGTAGTATGGTCTATCACTTAAAATACCTTTCACAGCCTTCCTGAAGCATTGTAAAGACTTTATTTCTGTTACATTCTTTGGCAAGTGGTTGTTCATTTTACAACCATTATAGATAATGGAATCCTTTATGACTGATGTCGTTGGTATTGGCAACTTAATGTTGTTGGATTGCCTTGTCACATAATGGGTTGGTGAGGATTGAAATTTGTTCAAATATTTCTAAATTAAACACACTTTTTCTATTATAAAGAGAAAAATGACTGTTAGAATTCCATGAATGGTAAAGAGTAATCTACAAGAGTCTGTACTTTTTGATTTGCACATATATCTTATGGCTCGTTTTTGCAAAATTGAAATATTTTGTTCTAGATAACCATTACATATGCCCGAAAATGAAATTCCATATCTCAGGTGAGATTCCACCAGAGAAAAATAAACAGTCTTAGCTGCTGTTAAACCGAGTTCATTTGCGACTACTCTGACTGCATAACAACCAGACGACACTTTATTACACAAACCTAAAATATGGTCTTCAAATTTTAGTTTTCTATCGATATGTTCTACTTTTGTTCTCAATGATGTCATTCCCAATGGGTATATTGTCAGATTTACATCTGAAAGTTCATCATATCGATGGATATGGTTTTAGTTAAATCATTTGCATTGTCCAATTGCCAAATGGAATTCTTACAACAAAGTGTTACACTTGACTAAGTTTCTTAGATAGTTTGTGGCATCTCCTAGATGCTTTTTAACATTTTATCGATGGTTTTTGATGCTTCCTAGATGTTTTTAACGTTTCTTAGATATTTACTGAAGTTTCATGGTTGTTTTTTTGTGCTTTTTGACGCTTCTTTAGCGCTTTCTGATGTTCACTAAGTATTAGATTATTCATAGCATTTGTACCACACTTTTTCGCGTAGTATCGTTATATTTTTTCAATATTCAATTACGTTTATTTCGTCTTGTCCCTGAAGATCATTATCCGAATTGAAACCAATCTTATTTCAATTTACATTAAGTCATCTCTACCATTCATCTCAAATTATCCTGAAACCTGATCTATTTCCGTTAACCAGCTGTCGCACCCCTACGAACGACAACCCTCAAAAGTCTAAACTTGTGCGAGCTATGGACTAACGAGGTCTTACTTTTTAACGTATGATTCCTAACACGGTTCTCATACTTTTGATAAGTAAATTTTGTTTTCTCTATTTTCCACGTAGCTGTCACGTACTTGTCAAGCTGAAGCTCACGGGTGTATGATATACACCTACATAAGCTTGTCATCGAAATGAAGACATCTTCATATCTAAAAAGCAACAATATCTGTACATCTGTGATGATATCATTATGTTATGGTACGTAAAAACCTGTGGCGCACCAGAGTCGAATTCAGGACGGTCCTAGACAAGAAGCAAGCATGTGATTTTACCGATAAACGGTCTTTTTGTAGTCATATATACACACATCGGAAAAGTCTAGGGATATTTTTATAACATACTAAATATCATAAAAATAAATGCATGAGATCGTTTAGTTNAAAAAAATTATTGCCATTTTTAAAAATATCCCTAGACTTTTCCGATGTGTGTATGTTATACACTCCTCATTATTGTTCTCCCATGCAGAAGACTAGTATAGATTCAAACCATACTGGTTTGACAGTATTTCTTTGACTTTCACATCGATGACTATTCTCTCTTACTTTGATGTTCCTGGTCAATATGTTCCGTCTTCTAGAGCCTTCCGGCAGAAAAAAATATTCTTCGCAAAATTAAACAGAAAGCACAACCCCAAAAACTTTGGAATCTTCGACAAAATGTTACCAAATCGCGTATACCTGATTTTGAAAGGTAACTAAGAAGTTGGCACTCAGAAAAATTTGACGTGTTTTATGCCTTAGAGACGTATCCTCGGCGAATATACTTTAACCCATTAACGCCTAGCGTTACGGGTTAGTCTATATACAATGGTTTAAGCTTCCTGTAAAGGGTTTCTCACTTCAAGATGCTCTAGAGATAGCCTATAGTGATAATATAGACGAAGTATTTATTGAACTACCCGATCCGGACGTTTTGACAAACGTAGACTTGGGGGATGAAGACGGTAGTAGATTTATTGACAATTTATCTGGCAGACAACTTAGAGATCAAGCCGAAATAAAACTCCTGGACAACACCAGAGTTGGTGGGTGCAGTTCTGATGATGTGTCGCGAAGTCTTGGATCACTTCATGCTTCATCAAAACACATGTCTCCTTCGTCATCACAAAACAAAGTACTTCCAATAAAACAAATACTATTGATGTAGAGGACTTTGACTGGGTCCAAGGCGATTTGCAATCAAATCACCAAATTTTTCCAACATGTGACTTCAAGCCATATCAACATTTAAGTCCTGTGGAATTATTAGAATTGTTTATCGATGACGACATCATACAAATGACGATCGAGGAAACGTCTAGGTATGCCTTATTCAAAAACTGTCCAGACCCTAAAGTATCTGTAGAAGAAATGAAATGCTACATTGGCATACTTATTATTAGTGGGTAAAATGATTTACCAGGAAAAGGGTTTTACTGGGACTCGAATAACATGAGAAATAAACTGTCAGACCTGTCTCATAAAGTGTGCAAAATGTGTCCGCTAATGGACAAGATTAAGGAAAAATTTTTAGCTTATTTTGAGCCTGAAGAGCAATTATGTTATAACGAATCTATGATTCGATATTTTGGAAAACACAGCTGCAAGCAGTTTATCCGAGGTAAACCAGTTCGTTTCGGCTATAAAATGTGTTGTATGCATACGGCTTCTCGTTACCTCATCAACTTTGAAATGTATCAGAGAAATAACCCCCGCCGCTCCTCTGAATATGAATAATTATTCGGTAAAGCATCATCGCCCATGGTGAAAATGCTAGAAGAAATAGAAAGTAAAAGGTTTCCAACCATATAAACTCTATTTCGACAACTTATTTACAGGCGTAAAGCTCCTTAAATATTAACGAGATAAAGGGTATCAAGGTACTGGAACTGTGCGTGAAAATAAGTTACCTAAGGGATGCTCTCATACAGGAAAGAAGACCTTTGGGAAAAAACCGAGAGGTACTATCGAATCTATTCTTGATACGGGTTACGGGATTGGGTTACTGTCAAATACAGCAAGGGCTGCAGTTCGAACATTTAATATAAAGTCATGTATTCCAGCATATGTCCGCTAGACAATAAGTATTTTTGATAATATTGTTAATTTACCTAATAAAGAATGTTACGCGTTACTTTATTAGCACACACACAACTAC